CCCAGGTCCGACATGCTAATTTATCTTTGGATTTCGGCCAGCTTGATTTGCGTTGCGCCCCAATGTTAAAAATAATTGAAAAAATCGGAATAAGAATTATTTCGATAGTGAGATTGTCACTTCATTTGATCCGATGTGACAGTGATATCACATATGACAGGGACGGATCCAGACACGGGCATTGGGGTCACACGCTCCCCCCCCCCCCCCCCCCCGATCGAAAAGTAACGGTGCCCCTCCAGTGGCCGCTCTAGAGTGCCGAAGGCGCCTTTCTATCGTGACGCTCCTAAAGGGGCACAGGCGCTACCCGGAATGGTGCAAGGGTGCCCTTGTGTTCGGAAAATGTGTCCCTGAGTCTAGAAAGGTCTCTTGAAGAAAAAAGGGCATCGAACGTTCAGTACTGGAAGGGTGCCCTCTGAAAACATATCCGGGCTCCTCCGTAGCCTATGTCCGGAGGGCAAGAAGAAGACCTCGAGAATAAAATGGTGCCCCAAGCACTGGGGAACCTTCCTCGATGGCTCAAAGGCCGTCTTTGAAGTGAAGAAGATGCGTCTCCAGAGAGAGAAGAACACCCTTGAGAACAACAAGGCGCCTCAAATCCTGGAGAGGCGCCTTGAGGGCTCGAAGGGCGCCGCTAACGTTCGAGATATGTCTCAAGAACAGGTTTAAGTCATTCTAAAACCGCAAAATAGCGTGTCATACCCTTATGGTTCCCAGAGGCCTGAAAGGGCGGTCCTGGTGATTTAAAATTATGTCCCAAAGTCTTGAAGATGCCTTTTTATTTATTCTTTAAAAAGGGCATCTCCGAGGATCCAAAAGACGTCCTTGCGGTTTAGAAAATGTATCGAGGTTTAAAAGAATGCGTTAAAGAGTCTGAGTGCCCCACAACCTGGAGAGGCGCCTTATATGACCAATAGGGCGCCCCGGACATCTGAAAACATGCCTCGAGGGTGAAGTAACATATTTAAAAACACAAGGGCGTCCAGATCTCAGGAGGGTTACCCTTAAGACTTCAACAGCTTCCCTGATGTTTGAAAACATATCCTGACGGTCCAAAGAACAGCCGGACGTCCAAACAGAATGACAAAAGTAGTTTGGGGCAGTCCCGAGGGCTGAAAAGATGCTTCTGCGGTCAAAAGATATTCCCAAGTCTGAAACAGATGCGCAAAATCCGGATGAGTCACCCTCATGTCTGAAAATGGTCCATTGGACTAGAACGCTCTAAAAATAAACTGGTGCTCTCAATTCTGCAGCGGTTCCCCGGGGCGCTGAAAGGACGCTCCTAAGGCCTGCATAACTCACTAGGGCGATAAAGAGGTTATTTTGAATCGACGCCCATGGTGTTTAAAGCATACACACGCATCACCTTCAGGACATTCAAGTCTCACGACATGCAAGACACAAGACACACAAGCATCAATACAAGACATTGCCATTTCATAGGCGCCCACGCGGTATAAGGGAACCTGTAGCGCCTAGTGCGGCAAAGGAGATGAAATACGTGGGGGGGGGGGGGGGTATTCCCGTCTGTGTGCTACCTGCACTTAAGCACCGTCGCAAGCCACGCTCATAACAACAATTCGCTCACGCATGTCACAACCCAGTCTCGCATTCCGGTAGTCCAGTGTGTGAGATTCCGCCCCGAAACGGTAGTATCAGGTGCCCTGGGGCTAAAATGGCATCTCAGGGACAGCGCAATGATAGAAAGTAACAGGCTACTTGCCAGCCCGGGTCAAGCGGGGCCATCTTTCCGTGCAATCGTTGCACCTTAGAATGCGAAAAGAGAAACAAATAAATTATAGCAATTTTTAGAGCTTCACTAGTCACTTCTACCATGTGTAGATATTGGCACCCCAGGAGCTGGCGGTGCATCCTGTAGAATGATAGGATACCCGCTCCACGCGAAGGCATTACACATTAATGAATGATGAATTGACACCATGCAACTGAACTGAAGTGCCACAGTACCACTCCGTCTCAAAGCCCTCTCATGAAAAGCGATCGTGGGAGGGGGGGGAGGGGGGAAGGCAAGGTCGCCCGCGTGGCAACACAAGGCGAGTGGGCCCGATGGCTGCGTCAGCCGTGTTAAGCTGACGAACAAGAGCGCCTCAGGTGGCTCCCGCGCGCCCGAGCTCGTCGTGAAGCGACAGTCGCCGGAGGTGGCGGTACACGACACCGCGAAGAGGCCCCAGACAACGCTAGATCACCGCGTCACAAACAGGGCCCAAATCACGGTGGGTAATGCGATTTTAAGTCCATATTCTTTTGAACAGGCTCTGATCGAACATGCTTACATACCACAGGTACCCATATTAAGTTGCCTACGCTGTCTGTTCGACGCGTGTAATAGCTCGTAAAAAATCCAACTGCGAATGTCATGATTATTTGTATTACACTGCTGACACCGTCCGGTGCTGGCGAACAAATTCCTAGCACTCGCTTACTGCTCAAAGCGAGCTGCTTGACCGCACTGACTCTTGAATCACAAAATACATCAGACGAGCGGGGGGGGGGGGGGGGGGTAGCCTCTTCAGCGCACTGGTGGATGAAACAACTGACCGAGCAGACGCGAACAGATGGCAGTTGTCCTTTGGTGCGCATCCCAGCAGGATTAGGTGTGAGGTGTTCACAGAGATTCTGTTCGCATCGTGTATCTGCTCGAGCAGAGATGGAGGCTGGGTGCTCCAAACACAACGGCACCGACGACGAGGGGGGGGGGGGGGGAGTAATGAGGAGAAAAGGACGACGATGTGTAGGAGACAAAGATGAGTGGAGTAAACATCGGCAGTCATCCTGAAAAAGTTGCAGACCTCGCTCATTTGACGGTATAGGGATGACGGGCTGCTGGTTCGACGTAGCTCCAGCAGCGGCTAGTGAGAATATGGGAGCAGCAGCTGTGCTCAAAAGCGGCAACAACCGCAGGGCGTTTTTTTTTTTTGCTGTTCGATGTGCACACATAATTTGTACGTCAACGGCCCCTGCAAGTAGCGAGACGTTCGAGAATGTCTTGATACCGTAAGAGATATAACCACTTTTGCATTCACAGAAAGCGCGCCAGAGCCGTGAAGAAGGCCATCAAGAAGATGGTACCCAAAGAAAGCCGAAAGAGGCTTATCACGCTCTGCACTACGCGCTGTCTGGAGCGTCTCGAGGCAGTGACGTGCATCTGCCAGCTGGTGCCAGCAGTGGCCCACTGTCTGACGAAAATGAGCGTGCGTTTTTTTCAGAATCGTGGAAGAACGCCAAGAGTCTGATGCGCACAATCGCCTCTTCAGAGCTTCTGGTGACACTGCATGCGCTTGAAGCCGTGGCCTCTGTGGTGCAGCCAGTCGCCCGTGCACTCCAGGCGAAGGGCTTGCACGTTTTAGTGCTGCAAAACACATCAATGTTTGCAACAAGCTGCTGCAGGGATGGAGAGAGAAGCCAGAGGAGATGCTTGAGTTCGTGATGGACAAGGCAGGTGAGGCAGCTCGAGTCCTTGAGATCGATATCGATCCTCCCCAGCCGTGCGCCAAGACCGGTGCACCGGTCCAACGCGAGTGACTGCCGGACCGCCGTAGACTACTTCAGGGTGAGCTGCTTCATTCCTCTGCTGGTTGGCGTCCTCATCCAGCTCCACGCCCGCTTCGGGCAGCCGCAGCAGCAGTCACTCAAACTCTGTGGCTTGCTTCCGGCAAGTATGAAGCCATGAAGCCGACCGTGACGCGGTATGCACGGTTCCTGGCCCCGTTCCAGTCGTTGAGGCTGAGCGCAACACCTGGCTGGAAGTGTGGAAAGGAAAGAAGGAGTTGGCAATATATGTGACACAAGATAAACTAGATAAAGATAGATAAACACGATAAACTACTAGACACTAGATAAATGTCCGGACATCCTGCTTCCGAACATTTGCAGGCTCACTCGGGTGCTACCGCACTGCCAATGTCAACGGCCAGGCCCGAGCGGCTGTTCAGCCACGTCAACCTCGTGGTGACGTCGATCAGGTTGACGATGACCTCAGAGCGTCTGAAGGTCTTCTGCTTTTTGCAAGCCCACCGGCAGTCGCTCGGTAACGTGAACGCCGTTCTCCAGGAGTTTTCTCCCAGTCTCGAAAACGAGATATTGGTCTTTAACAAAAACACCGCAAAACATTTTTTCCTGATGACTGTATTGTGCGTAATACCCCTTTGTCTATCCAAAACACAAAAGAAAATCAAATCACCACATTAGCTATAGCAAAGAGATGTTCGTCTTTCAAGGTCAGATGTAGCCCAACACTGCTGGGGGATTGGTCTGAAAGCGGTTTAAGTTACAGGAAGCATTTGCACGAGTTAGTTATCCAAGCGTCCATTTCTTGAAGTTAGCGCTCATGACCAAATGAAAGAAATAAAAAAAAACTAGCGGTATTTTTAGCCCAGGGATCTTTCATGAGAGCTTGAATTATATAAAACATAAATTACTGTTTTTTATACTGTACATGTGATCAGTCGATCTAATGAACTAAAGTAAAACCAATTAGAATGCTGGGTGTTACAATTTCATGACACTCTTACAGGACCGGCCATTTTTGTCGCTCCTTGACTAGCCTATGCCATAATTTTCTATGATGCTGTTTACGACGCAGATCTGAAAGATGGAGTACAGCAGATCCATGGCCACACATCTGTGTTTAAGTGTCCCTTTTTTCCTCGACTGTTTCCCTGGATAGTTTATCTTTTTGCGAGCTGCCTTCCTTAGTAACTTTCCTCTCTATGCATTCAATATTTCGATATGCATGTGTTTATTGGTCAGGAGGCACTATTGTGTTTAGGTGCTGGGCTACTAGGATAAGCGCATAAGTCGATATTTACCGTAGCGTGGGCAGCAGAGACCGTGTAGCGTCAAGTTGGCAGCTGTGTTACCCAGTGCAGTACATTTGTTATGCGTTTGAAGACAGAGGTACCACATTAACCTTCCGGTTGCAAGTATGTTTCTACATTATCAGCGCATAGTACCGTATTGCGAGCACAGGTATGAGGCTATGTTCCTGTGATCCCTTCCCGAAATCTTACCACGATTTGCTCACCTTATTTCTCAACTGTTCGTGTCAAAATTCTTTGAAGAGCAAACCTGTCCATCGATATACCTAAAGTTCCCCTCATACATACATTGGCGACTTCTAATGGGAAGCTCGCAGCCCTCGGACCCTGTAAGCGCCTTCCTTTGATATGCTAATTGTGCTATAATGCAATGGCCACACTCACGTTACGACTGCCTTGTTCACTAGAGATATCATCAACTTTTGTAAATGGAAAACAGTGCATACAATTCCGGAAAAATCGACAGCCTCGCATAATGGTCAAATTTTACTGGAGTTCCGTCCAAATATCGGGTCCTGGAGCCGCCCCGGCACATCGCAAGTACCCGAAAGCTTAATGTCGTACGTAGAAATGACATTCAGAATAAGTAAACAAAAAGAAGTACAAAAGGAAGCGAGCAGTTTCAGAGAAACCAGCGAAAAACCTGAGGGGATCCATCTCCTCTACCTGGAATAACGTTAAGTGATGCCAACGGCAAATGCAAATTTCAAGTGCATAATCAAGATGTTGCGATACATTGAAACAGCGGGAAAATTACCATAGCCCTGTTGAACTTATCATCATTCGCCTGCTTAGTCAGCCTTATGACCGGCTGATGCGATGCGCGGTGCCCTGCGCAGTTGACTCACCAGCCGTGACAAAACGCCTGCAGCGGTGCCCGCCGTGTTGAGCGCGGCCTATCGACGGCCACTCCTCAGGCTGACCGCAGTCGGAGCGGTCACCGGCAGCCGCTACTCACATGTTCGATCGCGTGCAGCACCCGGCGTTCCAGCGCGTGCAGCATCCGGCCACCGACGCCGACGCCGCCGTGCCGCCCCGCTCATCGCGTTCACAGGACAGCATGGCCAGCCGGGCGCTCATAGCCAGCGAGAGCGGAGTGACGTTCGGGGGCAGTGACGGCGCCCGGGCGGCTGTGCGCATGCCGCGCACGGTCGGCGCCGCCTCCGGCACGGCCATCATCGTCGGCACCATGATCGGCTCCGGCATCTTCGTGTCGCCGCAGGGAGTGCTGGAGCGGACCGGCTCGGTGGCGCTCTCGCTGCTGGTGTGGATGTCCTGCGGCGTACTCTCCGCGCTCGGCGCGCTCTGCTACATCGAGCTGGGCCTGCTGATCCCGGAGTCGGGCGGCGAGTTCGCCTACCTGTTCCACGGGCTCGGCCCACTGCACCGCTTTTTCGGCCCGCTCCCCGCCTTCTTACAGACGTGGACGACCAACTTCATCACTATGCCGGCGTCCACGGCCGTTCTCAGCCTGGCGTTCGCAGAGTACTGCGTCCAGCCGTTCTACGCCAGACCGTGCGCGCCGCCGCCGATGGCGGTCCCGCTGCTGGCCGTGATCACATGCTGCCTGTTGACGTTCATCAACTGCTACAGCGTCACTTGGGCCACACGGGCGCAGAAAATTTTTACAGTGTCGAAGCTCGCTACCATCGGTCTCATTGTGGCAGCCGGCACGTATTCTCTGGTTCAAGGCAACAGCCAGTATCTGGCCACCGGCTTCCAGGGCAGCACATCTTCTGTGGGCGACGTCGCCACGGCGTTCTACAGTGGGCTTTTTGCGTATGACGGCTGGAATAATCTCAACTGCCTCACCGAGGAGATCGTGAAGCCGGCTCGAAACCTGCCGCTGGCCATCCTCATCGCAGTGCCGCTCGTCACCGTCTGCTACATCCTGACGAACGTGGCCTACCTGACAGTGCTGTCGCCGCAGCAGTTGCTGGACTCGTCGGCCGTGGCTGTCTCCTTCGCCGAGCGTGTGCTGGGTCCAGCCGCCTTCCTGATTCCAGTGGGCGTGGCGCTGTCTGTGTGCGGCGCCCTCAATGGCACCATCCTCAGCACGGCCCGCCGCTGCTTCGCCTCCGCTCGCCAGGGCCACTTGGTCGATGTGTTGAGCTTCATCCACGTGCGTCGGCTGACACCGACCCCGGCGGCCATGTTCAACTGTGGCATCGCCGTCATTATGATCACCGTCGGCAACATCGGTAGTCTCATCGACCTCTTCAGCTTCTGCGCCTGGATCTTCTACGGTCTGGTGGTGCTGACGCTGATCATCCTGAGAAAGACCCGTCCGGCCGCAGAGCGGGCGTTCCGCGTGCCCATCTGGATCCCATGGCTGGTGCTGCTCATGTCCTGCTACCTGGTGGTGGGACCGATGGTGGACAAGCCGCAGTTCGGGTACTTCTACGTCATAGTCTTCCTGCTTTTCGGTGTGCTCGTATACATTCCATGTGTGTACTACAAGTGGACGCCTAATGGCATGAGGAGCGTGACTGCCTGCCTTCAGAAGACTTTGGAGTTGGTGCCTGCCTCATAGCAGGGATCCGGCGTGTGTCATATGGTCGGTGCCAGAGCAGTTCGGCATGCTTTCCGCGGTATGTATTACCGATTACAAAAAGATCCAAGGAGGGAAAGGCTCGCTCCTCTGGAAGGAAATATCGACAGGAGCGTTACATCTGAGCCCCCCTTCCCTCTTCGTTTGATGATATTCTCCACAGAAAAGCAGCGATGTTCCACACGTCAAAATGTATTTGGGCATGTAGCTGTCTCTTTGAAATGGGAAAAGTCAGGTTTTGGCGATGGTTATAACGCAAGATTTTACTGTGACATGCTTTGTACATGACATCATAAAGCTACTTATACATCGGACGAACGTCATGCCCGGTGCCGGAAATAAATGTGTGTTTCCTGAGGCATGCTTGCGGACTGTAGGTAGAACCAAGAAGGGTCCGGAGGACGTGCGTTTGACCATTCGGAGGGAATATCGACAGACAAGCTTAGGTTCGCTCCCTGTCCTCCCAGTGTCCATAGAACAGCAAGAGTATCCTATGTGTCAGCATGGTGTTCACCCATGGCAGCTGTCATTTGTAATTAGAGACGTTCCTTTTTACGACAGTCATGTAACAGCATTATATTGTGAACTCATTAAACTGCAGCATACAGTCACGACTTCTTACTCTAAGCGTTGGGTTGACAATAGCCCTTAAAGGAAGTTTTCTTGTCACCACAGTCATTCTGAAAGTCATTCGGTGCAGGACACGGCCCTGCCCTTCTTAAGATATAGACCTCTCTAGTTTCTGGGCTACACGCCCGCGAAGATGTGCAGACTATTTCGGGGAGACTACTTCAAGGTCACCCAGGCGTACGTGACGGGATAATAACGTCATTCAAATCTTGGCATTGCATTGACCATGCGGCGATCAAAACCAAGGAAAATATCATTATCTAGTCATTTATATCTGGCGTTGGTGAGCACGATTTCCAGACATATCGACCATGACCCGGTTTGCAATCGACCCCACTGACAGCCGGTCCGGCTGACCTTCTTGCCCCGACAACCTGCAGTCACAGCCGGGCTGGGGAACTTACCTCAGGCTGAAGGTCAGTGAAAGAGCTACGTCAAGTCGGCTTATGCCATCTGGCGCAGAGTGAGCGAAAGGAGAAGCTACGTTGCGTTGAACGGCTAATTTTGTCCGTAGGCAAGGGCAAGTCAATAGAAACACAGCGAGTTCACATGCCCGTGCATTCAGCACAAACAGGGACATGCATACAGGATACGCAATACAGCACAGTACAGTGCGGAAGCCAGGACCACTTCATTGCCACAACCGGTTCTCCCTTGGCTGAGCCAGTGGATCAAGGCGACATTACTGCCGTAAAAGGGAGTCTCCTGGCTCTGTGGCCCTGGTTGCGACCAAGGAGCCAGCTCAGCGGCCCGACGTGACCTTGTCCTGTGATGGGTTATGATAGTCCGGGGCAGTCCTAACTAAAAAAAAAAACTAACTCCTATGCCAACCGGGAAAACGCCACGTTTTGGCAGGATAGTGCGTGGAGAACCCTCGTCGAGGAGGAAAACCTGAACGTTTGCAATTGTACAGGGAAAACCTCGCAGCATTGAGATATAATTATCGTGGTTTGTGTTGCGTAGAAGTTCAAAGGGGGGGGGGAGGGTCGAAACTATCCAGATATGAGTTGCCTAGGATGATCTTGAGTGTGAGTGGGAGCTTATGTGTATTTGTGTAGTGTACGAGTTGTTGTGCGCGTCGGTGTGTGGGATGTGCAGGTAGAAATGTTCGATGTACAAGGAGTGTGGTAGGAGTGACATGGAGGAGGAGGCGACGTCCCTTTGAACATACATGCGTGTTGTTGTAGTCTATCCGGAGCCTTGTGAGTAGAGCCTACCTTCAGGCTGTGTTTTGTTGCGTGCTGCTCCAATGTTACACCCGTGGTTTGATGTGATACATGCGTGGTGCGCGTTGGTGGCGTGGAGAGAGACAGGGCGGTGGCTCGAAGGGTCAGATACAGGCCTCCTAGGTTTTAGTATTGGGATCTAGCTCCGACTCGGTAAGATTTTGGAAAAAGGGGTAGGTGGTCGAGGAGGACCGAGGTGTTTCCACTCATGCTGAGAGCCAGCCTCAGTTCATATGGAGGCGTGTTATAAGGTTTCAGTGTTGTTTGATGTGAAGTCGAGTGCGTGGAGGGTGGCATTGAGTGCGTTAGTGAGCTGTTGTGAGCATTGATCTGCGGATGACACGCGTGCGCAGTGTGCGCAATTTGCGCGGCGGCCTCAAAAGATACCTCATAGTGCTGGTTGTGGACTATGACGTGTGGGATTTTGACCTTTAATGCCTGTTCGCGGCCGGAATTCTCTAGCGTCGCCTCTGCACATGGGTGGCAGCCAGCGGCCGGGGCCGCCTTCGGCCGGGCGCCGGACAGCCGCGTCCAAAACCATCCGCAGCATGGTCGCCTTCGGCCGGGAGCCGGGCAACCGCGCCCGAGACCATCCGCAGCATGGCCGCCTTCGGCCGGGTGCCGGACAGCCGCGCCCGAGACCATCCGCAGCATGGCCGGCTTCTGCTGGGAGCCGGACAGCCGCGCCCGAGACCATCTGCAGCATGGCCGGCTTCTGCTGGGAGCCGGACAGCCGCGCCCGAGACCATCCGCAG